CGTGGCGTCGCCCACTTATCGACCAAAAACCATATCTCATTAACTTCTCTACCGATTTCAATGAAATTCAGTACATAATATAATATACAATCGGTTCACAATCACGCCTTCTTCCAATATAACTATTTTGAATTCCATCTGATGCCTTCTCTGTATAATATATCCATTAGGAACCAATGATGATAGCGGAATAAAACTTTACACAAATACGGTATTTGATGCGAGAATATAAAATGTTAGGTGACAGCCGAACTTAGAACTTCCTTACTTGTTTTAATCTAAAAATCTGACAATAACTGTTCGTTTTTGTAGTGATTTATTAAAAAAGTAAAATAAACAAGGTTCATACGTTAGTTCAAATAATTATATGTACACAACTGTTCATGAGAAATAAAAAGGTTCATGATCGAAAAATATCATTAACGGTTGATTTTCTTAAGCATATAAAAAATATAATAAATAAAGGAATAAAAACTATAAAAAAATAATAAATAAAGGAATTGGTGCTTGAAAATTGACGATTAACAGTCAGAGATCTTACTGGCATTGTTGAAATAACGGAAGGATCAGTAGAAAACATTTTTAAAGATTATTTGGGGCTAAGAAAAGTGAAAGCACGATTAGTTCCAAAATCACTAAATTTTTTTCGAAAAACAGCGTCGCGTTAACGTTTGTGAAACAATGCTTTCCGACGATCGTGTCTTGGATCTATGCTTACGACCCGGAAACAGACAATAAATCAGCCGAATATCGTGACAAAGGTGAAACGAAGCCCAAAAATGAGTCAATGTACAAAAATCAAGGCTATGTTGACAGATTTCTTCGATTATTGAGGGGAGGTGCACTCCAACCTATAAATTTCAGACCAGTGAAACTGTCAACAAAGAATATTATTTGAGTGTTATGCGAAAGATAGGCCGACAATGGCAAAATAGATAAAAACAGTTCAAAACAACCCATATTTCTTATATACCTATTATAAGATCTTCAGACTTCCTGTTGGCCTTATGCCGTATACATYGGTCAATATGTAAGATATCTTAACAAAATTAACAGAAGGTATAATATATATTTTAATGTCGAAATACACACACACATATAGTATTGGCTACGAATTACCCAAACCCCTCATATACAGAGACAACGATTTTTATTAATCTAACAAACCCTATGCCGAATAAATCGGTATAAGTTATGAGTTATATACATATATTATGTATTTATAAAATTGCTAGTAGTAGTCGTGTGAATACTACAGTTTGTGGATATGAAACTTTCAGATAACTTTCAGATAACRGATGTTCAACAGCAGTCAACAGCGCTACTACGGTCAGTTATTTTCGTCTTTCCATTGAAACTACTAGTGTAAAATGCTATATTTATTCAATCTATAAATCACTTAAATTACTTCAAGATTGTATTATTCACTRCCAAAAGTGTTTCGAAGCAGATAATATATTATGTTTAATTTTCCCTGCTRTACTGGGTGCTAGTTCGAAGGTGGTGAAATAAGCACTTACCACGAGACCACCTCTACTTACCTTCGGGCTAACTTAAGCAATGCGTTTTTTTCATTTTCGTTTTTGTATGAAATGTTCGCAATTAGGTTAAATCGCCAACAGCTCGTTTATCCTGGGAACTATTGAAACAGTAACGCATATTAGAGGTACTAAAATGAGAACCCATGCTAAGAGTACTTTTGTGCCAGAAATCACTAATTATAATTATAAAATTACTGTTAAATTAAATTTTTAATTTTATTAAATTTTCTGTTGCTAAGAAGAACACAGCTCATTTTAAAGAATTATTTTTATCTGAATCAATTTAAATTTTACTGTAGCAGCTTCTTGCACGGACTGAATTTATTGCACCTGGAAATAAGAAAGATTAGAAGAGTTCCATCAGTTTGAAATGAGTGATATTTGTTAAATAAGTTGCAATGAATATGATGAAACCTATCAATCATAACACTGAACCATTTTTTCCCCTTGATTGTCATCGATATTAAAACCATAATATTTTTAAGAGGTCGGTAGGGTAGTCTTTTAAAAAAAAAAAATTTTTTTGCATTTTCTGTTCCCTTCTATCCTTAGAATTAATGTAGAAATCCACTTTACCATTGGAAGGTTTCGAAAAAGGCCCAAAAATAATAA